AACAGAAATTAAAGTCATATAAATATCAGATTATTTATGATTTAAAGAAATTGCTCGGAATCAGTTCCAGAAACCACAATTTTGAATTTTAAACACGTGTTAAGCAAATCTGATTAGTAGGTAAGTAGGTACGATAAATTGAAATAAGTTTGATTGAACAAGATAAAATTTAACTCAAACAAGATTAAATACTGGAAACATATTTAAGTTAAGAGGACGGTTCACCCGGATTTGTTGTCTCCGTCTTACACACCTATACGGCATAGCAAAAACTGTTTTGCGCTGGAAAGAACCGAGAAGGCTACCGTCATAATTAAGAAACGAAATTTTCACCACATAAAAAGGAGAACTGGCAATATCGTTTTTATTTTTTCGTTATCGGAACTTCAAAAAAAGTTATTAAAGTTTAAAAAACACAAATAATAATGTATTTTGAAACAATAAGAATTTTTTTCGTACAAGTGATATCAAAAAAATAAAAACGAAATTGCACAGTCAGAGCACTCCTTTAGGTGTGGAGAACATTTCGTTTCTTAGTTATGTCTGTAGCATTTTCGGTCCTTTCCCTCGCAAAACAGTTTTTGCTATGTCGTACGTGTGTAAGACGGAGACAACAAATGCGGGTGAAACGTCCTCTATTTATTTATTTATTTACGGAGAAAAAAAACTCCATTTACAAAAAGTATGTACAAATATAACAGTTACAACATAATTTCATAGAGAAAAGAAAGCTTTTACAGAATGTGATAATTAATTTGTATATAATAATATAATAATAATAACAATAATCTCGTAGTACAAAGATTGGTAATATTATGAAAATTTAAATTAAACCATATATATGTTTAATATCATTACTACTACAGTAAAATAAATCTAAATTGGCAAAATTACCTAGTGACATTAACATGTTTGCTGGTGAATTTAGAGAATAATTTGTTTTTGTATTTCGTAAGAAAAATAAATTATTATTTCTCGTGTTTTTTGGGTTGGTATTAAAATGTAGGTTCTCTAATAAAAATCTGCAATCAATTTCATAATCAAGTAGTTTGAATAAAAAATATAAATTCAAATAGTTTCTACGGTTTTTCAGGGGAATCATATCAAAAAAATCCTAAAACTCCATCATAACCTATCTAAGTATTGATCAATATTTTTCACGGTGTAAGAGGAGACGTTACAACGGCTAGAAAATATGTTTTATATCATCATCAAAACATACTATTTTACTATTGTCTATTGATGTAAAATAATATAAAATAATATATAATAATATAATATTAAAAGATATAAAATAAGTATTACTCATATAGTTTATATCATATACCTATACGTGTATAAATAATGTATCTGCCATCAACTATTTAGGTATACTATATTTAGTAATTATGACTATTAAACTATTTTATATATATATACGATTTCAGTCTGGTGTAGTTTATATATCTGTATATAGTGCCTATACAAGCAATATATATGTATTAACATTATATTATCATGTACATATAAATATATAATAATCATATATATACACAGATGAGAACCACGAGATAAACCAACACACAACTCAACGGGTTGGTCGTAGGTGTATATTATAATTCATATGCGTATATTTGTATTGTATACAATAATATACATAATATGGGTAGAGGCATATATCGTATACACGACTATATACACGGTTAATAATAATACACGTATATAGGTACTCCTCCTATCCAATAAATTCCCGGTCATTGTAACACTTTCGTACGTGATCATGTATAATATCGTTGGCCATTGAAAATACGAAACGCCAACGGATAATGGCCATCCACGGCCGTCGCGCCCGCTAATGTGTGAAGACAGACCGCCGCCGGCGTGTTTATTTTATACGACTTTTAATATTTTTTTTTTACTAGGAATCGTAAATAATAATGTATCGTAATCACAATGTGCGGCCGCAAACGTGCCGGTTCCCGGATTCCGCGGATTAGTTCGATTTCGATTTCTATTACCTCTGAATTCAAAAATTGTCCGCCGCCGCCGCCGAAGATACAATAATCGACTCGGGAGGGTGTAAAGGTCCGCGCAAACTCACACAGGTGGCGATGGCCGTCGCTGCACTACATTATGTACGATGGTAATATCTTCGTCGAAGTCACGTTCGAAGTCTCTAAAGAAAATATACATACGTGTAATACACGTGAGACCGACATGGCACGGTTCCACACGCCTAGTGAAAGGGTTATTATAATGTTATATAGGTAGGTAGGTACTATACTACCAAAACCGTCGCGTTCAGTAAACACCAGCTCTTGTAGTCGTCGTTGTTATTATTATATTTATTAGTGGGTTTAGGTAAATTGTATTATAAATTTATACTTTTTACCTACCCATTATAATTAAAATCCTCAGACGTATTAACGTTATCTGGCAAGTGGTGTCAATAATGTAAGTACCAATAGACTAAAAGACTACAACGCGAATTTAATTAGATTAAAATTAAAATAGATTTATTACATGGATCGAGTGACACTGACACTGTATCGTTCAATAAAAATAATTCAACCACTCCATTATAGGCTATAGCTATACAACTCTAAACGGATGTATTGTTAATTTAAGACCATCGTGTTTCCAATTAAAAAACAGTTTTCGCCAATAATTGTTAAATAGCCAAACGTTATTTTAAAGGATAGGTTAGGAACGCGTTTTGTGCGTATTTTGTTTAACTTTTACGGGCTTCAAATATAAATATAACTAGGTAATTACGAAATACTGTTTCGCGAGTGGTGCTAAGCCTAAGTATATGGTGAAAATTTGTTTTTCGTCAAGAACCTATTCGAAAATAGTCTCTTCGTGTTTAGACTTCCGGGGCGTGGTGTAAGAAGCAGCACTATGACACTATATGGGTACTGCACCCCCGCGACATTTGATATATTTTTTTGTACCCATTCGACGACGGAGAAAATGTTATGATGTCCGTCGAATATTGTTGTTTTCGTCCCTTTTTTATATTGGGAGATCCTTGTAGGTACGGTCTACGAGTGTTGTAAAGTAGCAGCATATGTTCACGAAACGGTATCGAGTGGACGACTGCGTATCGGATTACTTCGGACCACGTGCCACGGGAATATAATATATTATTATAGATTGCCAGGTGTTGACTATACGTGCACACCGACGAGATAGGTTTCACGAGATCCGTGTGTATTGGTTATCGTTTAATTTCTACCTTTCGTATATTAACTAGAGATTTTCAGATATACAACAACAACTCCTAACAACAGTGCAACACTGTAGTAATACGTCTGTATAGGTACTGTTTATCATTCTTCAAATATAATATTATATACTATTATACAGCCCCTAATTCTAAAACATTTTTAAGCCTATAACATTAAATCGATCTGTACATAAAATGCATAAGTATCTGTAAAAATACATTAATTGTATAGGTGTATAGTTATTTAAAAAATCATTATAATTTATAGGCACCATCTATTATCGTATTTAGTATAATGACATGCAATTTTCACGTTATATCATGATTATCACGCTATTTACGACATAAGCAGATTTTTATATTTTACTATATTGTATAACGTCTTTTTTTTACATCATGCTTAATTACTCGATGTAAAATATTTTTTTGTAAATACAAATTTTTGATATTACTATTAATAATTGTATTTATTATTAATATTATAGTAAATTTTTTAATTTTTCATGGATTGTAATAGATAACCCTGACCCTCCACACAAGTTCCAGTAATCTGTTACCAGATATAAGTTGTAAATAAAAAATAAAAATAAAACTGTGTATGAATTGTTATAATATTGGTAATACGAACTATAGGTATATTTATTATTATTCTATTAAATTATTCTATGGTATAGACTATAATATAATTTTTTGTATCCCTCAATATTATGAAAAATAAACTTATGGTATACCTAATTCATAATATACAAATTACCTGAAATGTTTTTATATTAAAATGTATTATGTAAAACTATTTAGTTTTAAGATACAGACATAAGTAACAACTTAATAAATTATAGTTATTTTTTCTTTTTGTACAGTTAAAACGTATTCTGTAAACAAAAAATCATGTTAAAATAATAGTTGAAACGAGGAAAATATATATATAACAATGCAGTTATTATGTATTATTGTATTAATATACTACTTAACAATAATTGTATTTATCATGTAAAAGGCAACTTTATAATAAATTTATCAATTATTATGCCATTCAAAATAAATTAAAATTAATAAATGACAATGTCGATTATTACCAATATTTTTTATATAGGTAATCTTATTAAATTTAAATACCAACTTTTTATTTTTAATAACTTATTGTTCTATAATAATACCAAAATAATTTAAAGGTTATATTTTTGTAAATTACTGCAACATATTCTATATTATGTTTCTTATTTGTATCTATAATAAAATTATATTATATTATTTAGTTATAAAATTCGTAAGGTCTAATATTAGATAACTATTACAAAATATTGTTTTATTTATTTTACACTATATACACTGTGGTGTTTTTTAAATATTAAATAACAATACTAAAAAACTAATTAACAACATAATTATTTATTTAATTAAATCAAAACATGACATATGAACACTATGTACAGACTACAGAGGAATGGTATAATATCACTAACTTTTAAACAACAAAATGATATGATAAGACTAGTTCAGTGAGTTCAGTGTTACCACATCTCCCTTCCTTTAACAAAATATTAAAAAAAACAAAACTATTTATGCAAAACAATATTTAAAAGTACCACATAAATACTAATACACTTAGATATTTTATAATTATTACAGTTACATAATTTTTTTTTTTTTTATTAACACAATATTTATTTTACTTAACATTAATACAACATAACAACATTATATTATAATAACAACATAATATTATAATTTAATATAACATATTTGTTTTATTAATATTTTGTACTTAATACTAATATAAGCATCCATCCTGTCACTTATAATCCTTAAGATAACGAGGTGTCTTTTTTATTCTTTCTGACTTTTTAATTGACACATTTGTTTTTTTCGAATCATTTTCACTTTCAATATTTTTTCCTACATCATTTACTATTATCCTGTGTTTTAAAAACCTCCTGTTTCTTAATAGTGTTCCCCCATTAATAACTTTTACCTTAAAATTCCTATCATTTGTTCCTTTCTCTATGATTAACCCTTTACTCCAGAATTTGTTTTCATTTCTAATTTGTATCCATACCGTATCGCCTACCTCAAAATGTTCACCTTTTCTTGCTGTTCTGTCATACACTATTTTTTGTTTCTCTGATCTCTTAATTAATTCTTCTTTTATTTGACTAGTATCTTTGACTTTAGAATTGCTCATACTGGGAATTAATGATTTAACTTTTCTCTTAAATAATATCTCAGCTGGAGCTGGAATAAGTTCACTAATTGGAGTGTTTCTGTATTCCATCAAACATTTATTCCAATCAAGACCATCTTCTAAAGCTTTATTTAACATTTTTTTTACTGTTTGTATGGCTCTCTCAACCATTCCATTAGATTGTGCATATACTGGAGACGAATTTACCAATTCCATATCAAAATCCTTAGCAAACTGTTTAAACTGCTCTGATGTAAGTTGTCTGCCACCGTCCGATTTTAAAACCCTTGGAATTCCAAATCTGGCAAATATAGGGACCAATTCTGATATGACATGATTAGAATCAATTTTCTTTAATAATGCTATCTCCACATATTTTGAAAAATAATCTATTACTAAAAGGAAATTCATATTATTAATATGAAATATATCTATACCTACTATCTGCCAACTATCATCTGGAGTTTCACTTGGTCTCATGTACTCTTTACTCTTTGAGTCTTGATATTTTGCACACAACTCACAACTTTTTACTTTTAACTCAATATCTTTATTTATGTTCGGCCAATATACTGCTCCCTTAGCTCTCAATCTACATTTTTGTATACCTAGGTGATTGTAATGTATTTTATTTAAAACCTCTTTTTGCAAAGATAATGGTACCACTATTTTATTGTCTTTTAACAATAGCCCGTTGCTAATTATCAATGAGTTACGCACATTCCAATAAGCTTTTAAATTGTCTGGTATTTTACTATAACATGGCCAACCTGATACCACCCATTTTTTTATGACTCCCAAGTCTTTATCCTTCTCTGTCTCTTTTACATATTCATCCAGTTTTGCGGTTGACATAGGAAAATGTTCTAAAGTGCTTTGCATTTCAATTTCTGCTACTTTTAAAACATCATTTTTTTCATCCACATCCTCAATAAATGCTCTTGAAAGTGTGTCTGCTATATACATAAGAGAACCCTTTTTAAATTTTATACTAAATTCATACATTTGAAGCCTAATTCTCATTCTCTGTAATCGTAAAGGTGTATCTATCAATGGCTTCTTGAATATATACTCTAACGGTTTATGATCACTTTCTATAATTATTTTCCTACCATAAATAAACTGATGAAACCGCTCACAACCCCAAACTATTGCATACGTCTCTTTTTCAATTTGTGCCCACCTTGACTGTACCTCTGTTAATGCCTTAGATGCATAAGCAACCGGCAAGTTATCTTGAAGCAGAACCGCGCCTACTCCATACTGTGAAGCATCAACAGATAATATTATTTCTTTATTTGGATTGTAATATTGCAAAACCGGAACCTTACATAAATCTTCTTTTACTCTATTCCACATATTTTCCTCATTTATGCTCCACTGAAAACTAGAATTTTGTTTTAAAAAATCTCTCAGTGGTTTTGTTTTGTCTGATGCATGGGGTATAAATTTTGATATATAATTATACATTCCTAAGAATCTTTCAATATCTTTCTTACATTTTGGTTGTGCCATTTCTTTAATTGCTTTTACCTTATCAGGGTCTGGCCTAACTCCAGTGTTTGAGAACTCATGACCAATAAAAATTAATTTACTAACCGCCCATTCACACTTATCTTTATTTAATTTAACATTATTTTTTTCCAATCTATGTAGAACATTCATTAATCTAGACTTGTGTTCTTCTTCGTTTTTCCCAAAAACTAATATATCATCCATGTACACCTGCACTCCTTCAAGACCTTCTAACAACTGAGAAAAATGTTTGTAAAATATCTCTGGTGCTACATTCAGCCCAAAAGGAAGTTTGCGAAAACAATATCTTCCAAACGGAGTATTAAAAGTTGTTAGTTTAGAGCTTTCCTCACTTAATGAAATTTGATAAAACCCTTTTTTCGCATCTAGTCTACTAAAAATACATGCTTCTGACATTTTACCCATAATCTCTTCTACTGTGGCCATAGGAAAATGTTCTCTTTTTAAATTTTTGTTTAAATCCTGTGGATCTAAGCAAATTCTCAACTCATTATTAGGTTTTTTAATTACTACCATAGAATTAACCCACTCTGTAGGAACATTAACTTTTTTAATTATGCCCATCTTTTCTAATTTATTTAATTCATTTTTTAATTGATCTAATAAAGAAATAGCAAATTTTCTTGGTGCATGTGTTACTGGTTTAGCATCACTTTTTAGTTCTAAATTATAGTTTTGTTTGAAATTACCTACCCCATGAAAAATATCTTTAAACTTTTTATAAATCTCACATTCTAAATTAAATTTATCAGGATTTAATTGACAGATGTCTACTCTATTAATTAGCTTAAGTTCCACACATGAATTTAATCCTAATATTGGTACACAATTTTCATTATTTACAACAAAAAACTCTAAATATTGTTCATCATTTGACTTAATTTTACATAATAAATTAATTTTACCTAAAGCATTAATATCAGTACCTGAATAATTTACAAGTTTTTCTTTGCATCTGTTCACTGTGATAGGCGTTAATCCCACCGCGTTCAACACTGATAATGGAATTACATTGGCTTCTGCTCCCGTATCTAGTTTGAACTGGATCATTTTCCCTTGAACCTGTAGCTCTTCATACCACTGAACCGCTGCATTGGATGACTTGCGCTTTTCACATTTGCTGACATTGCAAAATACTGCTCCTAGACATAGGTCTCCAGAGCTATCAGCTGCAGAAACGATATTGTTTTTTACTGATATTTCTTTAATAGTGCTCGTTTTTTTCGATTTCTTCCAATCATTTTTATTACTGTTATTTGTACCAACAGTAGACTTACATTTTATAGCAAAATGGTTAGGTTTATGACATTTCATACATTCCTGTTGATAAGCTGGACATTTATTGACATCATGTGTTTTACCACATCTTGAACAGTTTTCTATTTGTTTAACTGTCACCTTTTTTACATTTGATTGACCTTGTTTAAATTGTTTATTTTGTTGCTTGCTTAATTTCATTATTAATTTTTCTTCTACAACCGTGCTATTCATAAGTTGTTTTTGATCTTGAGCTGCTTGATATTTTTTAGTTAAATCAATTACTCTTTCTAATGTCAAATCAGTCTCTGACAGAAATTTTTCTTGTAATTTTTTATCAACAATGCCAGCCACTACTCGATCTCTAATAAGACGGTCCTTCATTGTTCCAAAATTACAGTTCTCGCTTAATTTTCTTAGCGCAGAAAGATATTCTCCGAAAGTTTCACCTACTTTCTGTTCACGAATGTTAAATTTGTATGCTTCGACACATTCATTAATTTTTTGCTTATAAAACAAATCAAAGAGTTCAATTGCTTTGTCAAGTTCTGTTACCTCTCCTTCTGTCTCGAATGTATCAAACACCTCTCTAGCGTCCTCCCCTATTATATGTAAGAAGATGGCTAGTTGTTCGTCCTTTTTCTTTTTTGATATACCAGCAGCCACTTTGTATATATTAAAATTCTTTTTCCATTTCGGCCATTCTACATGTGCTTCATGGATATTCAGTTCCTTTGGTGGCTTTAAGTTATCCATCATTATCTCATTGATCTGCACTATTTAATTATTAATGATAATACATACCGACTGCGCCATGTGGTGTTTTTTAAATATTAAATAACAATACTAAAAAACTAATTAACAACATAATTATTTATTTAATTAAATCAAAACATGACATATGAACACTATGTACAGACTACAGAGGAATGGTATAATATCACTAACTTTTAAACAACAAAATGATATGATAAGACTAGTTCAGTGAGTTCAGTGTTACCACATACACTATACAGATGTATATATTATTTTTATTGAGACCCAAGGCTATTGTTATTTAAGATATTTTAGTTATATTTATAATAATCGGCTAATTATTAATAGGTAGCTATAAAAAATAGATAAAGAAAAAAATAACAATTATATTGTATTGTATTGTATACCTACTATAATATATAATAATATAATATAGATTATTAGATGTATATAGGAGCTGTAACTGAAAGATTGTGAGTATACATAATATGATTTGATGTAGGTATAAAATCAATATCGAAAAATATGTTTACTGAAAACACCACCGCCTGCAGACGAGGCCCTTCGAAATTTTGCGCTTTACGACATCTGCTGACCGCCCCCGACCTAGATATCACAAGGTATATGGGCAGATGGTTATTGGCGAGGGGGAAAAAATCAACCTTTATAGTATGTACAATAGCAATAATTCCGAACGACGCGTGTTCTAGAATAATATATAGTAAGTAGTAGGTACCTATGACGGCTAACACAATGTTAAGTTTAATTAATTAATTTCGTAATATTATATTTTCATGTTCAATCAGAGTTCAAATTTCAAGTTTTTAACAAAATATTATAACAACAACAATATGTATAATTTTTAATAGGGTAAAATATATTATAATACCAATATTTTGGTATAACATAATATAATATTATTTTTCATAAGACAAACTACATTATGAATAAAAAGTAATTAAAAATACAACATTGAGTTCTTAATTTCATAATTGGATGCAAAACGTAAACATAATAAAGACACACACTTTCATCAAAAGAGCCATAGGTACATGTTGCAGAATCCAAATAGTCTTATTAATTATTTCTTATCTCATCTAATTAGATGAATTATTATTCAAATTATTTTATATATTTATGTATTTTATAGCGTTACGTAGTTATATGAATAACCTATAAAAACTAAACTGTACTTGTAGCAAAATTAAAAAAAAATACACGAAACAGATTTATTTTTATTATTTATTTATGTTGACAGTCGACCATTACTGTTCTGCAGGGTAATGAAAAATTCAAAATATGTTGTATGTATTTGAATTCGCATCTCTGATAGTATTTGTTTCAACATTAAAACATTTTCATTTTCATTGAAGTTTATAATTTATATTATGATTTTTAAAATGTTCAAAATTCTTGATCTCAATTGTTGGAAATTTAACAGGCACCTACTACAAGATCGGGAGTTAGTATTTTGCACCAAAATAAAGATATTAGGTATTTCTGCTCGCTCATATATTAATATTGTTGTTACTAGGTACTTATTTTAGTTTCTTTCATTTAAATGAAACTCAAATAAAACAATTATTTAACGTCACATGCGCCTGGTTTGAAAAAAAATGCAACTGTTTTTAATTTGTATAACACAGCAGATTTATTATTTAATAACTACCGAATCGTTATGAAGTGTTTACGGCAGAAAGCAGAAAAAAACCATTTTATTCCTCTTCCACTCTATCAATGTTGGTTGCTTACCAACCGAAAACTACCTACCGTTTGCATGGGAGCGCATTCGGATATGCCGGTGGGCCGTGTATAATTATTTTAACTAGAGGAAGAAATGAATTATTTTTCAGGATAATATTCAAAGAGAAGGTGATTTTTTTTGTTCTTTATATTTTTTTTTTCTACCTTGCGATGCCAACGAAACCAACTCGTTTATTTTCCGGTGTCAACTATGACAAATCGTGTGGAAGATTATTAACCAAAATCTAAGACCAAGTTCCTTGACTTCATCAATTACAATTTACATTATTCCCTCAAAACAAAAATGTTCGCGAATATATTGAATACATCCGTACAATTACAAGCCCCATATAAATCCAACATATAGTAACCGAGATACGTGTAATAATTATAGGACCATACATAAATGGGTCCAAAATGACTTGAATATTTTCTCCCAAAATTATTCTAGATTATACCTACTTTTTAATTTTTATAATTGGTATATATTGCTTTAAGTTCATATTCCGAATATGCATTTATTAAGGTGTATTTTCTATAGAATATATAATTAATATGATAAATTAATACCAATATATGTATAGTATAATTATTTATTAAGTATTATTACTGTTGGTTTACGCGGATATTTAAATGTACCATGTTTGTTTTGTCATAAAATTAGAATTAATTACAATCGGAAAAATGCAGTTAAAGAAATAAGTCATAAACAATTAATTTAATCCTTTCACCGCACATTGTGTTTGCAGAATTCAACAGCACCCCCAATATCTACACGATTATACCCCCCCCCCCCCCCAAAAAAAAAAAAAAATAAAATAAATCTGAAAGGATATTGACGAGATTAAGAGGGGGCATCGAGATAATAACAAATATTATTATTAATTTTAACATTTTAACGATGTGATTTAAATTTAAAAAGGTGGGCAAGTGGGTGTCGCTCTGCTGTACAGTAGGTTACAAGTGGGTCACTGTATAATGGATGATATTAAATTTGAATTCAACGATATAATATCATTGTATAAGAAAAACGATTCTGAGCGGAGACGGTATGTCAGTCTATGTTTAAGACATATTATATACATATCTATGGTATTAAACAAAAAATTGACCTATAATAGGTACCTATAATAAATTCCAAATTAATCATATCACAATATCCATTAGATACTTATAACGCGTTATACATCAACAAAAACCGTGATACTATCATAGATATATAATAGTACACTTTAGAAGTTTCAAGTACCCACGAATAGTATTATTCAATCACAACAAAATAACTAAAATCGTAATTCTTGGTTTAAATATGAAATTTTGTCTAAATTTGAAATTAAAATGTCTGTAAAAAATAAGTGTGTTTATATATTTTTTAGATTTTTTGGTTACAGTATGAATTATTTAAGAGAATCTTTGTTTTAAATTTTCAACTCTTAGCTATAAAAACTGAACATTTTATAATTTTTTAATTCCAACGATTGATAATTTTCGAGATTTTGATAAATTTTGTCAAAATTCCAACTTTAAATGCTTATAAAAAAAAATCGTGCCTATGTATTTTTAATATTTTTCAACTGATATTGTAACAATTTATCAGGAGCCTTGTATTAAATTTTTACACTTTTTGGCCCAACAGATAAAACTTTATTGATATTTATAGAAAAAAAAACTAAAAAAAATTGAAAGCTGTAAATGTCCATAAACAGCTCAAAAAGAGTCAAAATATTTTCAAAATTGTATGGTGTATATGAAATGCTAATATAAACATTCAGTGAAATTTTCATGTATCTACAGTTATTCGTTTTTGAATTACAACAAACTAAGGAAATCGCTACATGAGAAATCGAGTGAAAATCCAATGTTGTAAAAATTTGAATTTCAAACGCTCATAAAAATTTAATTTGACTGTCCGGTAGAGATTTTTTTATTTATAAAGGTAGATAATCTTATAAGGAATCTTGTGTTAAATTTCCAAATCTTAGATTTAAAAAGAAAAATTTTTACGAATTCTTAACTCAAAATAATTTGCTAATTTTCGTGATTTTTCCATATTTTGTCAATTTTTGAACTTTAAGTGCTTATAAAAAAAAATTGTGACTAAGGATTTTTAATATTTTTCATCTGCCTTTGAAACAACATATTAGGAGCCTTCTATTAAATTTTCAAGCTTTCGCAACCAACAAATAAAATTTTATTGATATTTCTAGAAAAAAAACTAAAAAAAAATGAAAAATGAAAATGTCCCTAAACAGTTCAAAATAAATCAAAATATTTTGAAAATGTTATCGTGTATAGAAAATGCAAATATAAACAACCAGTGAAAATTTCATGTATATACGTTCATTTGTTTTAGAGTTACACCAAAAACCAAAATCGATTTTTTGGAAAACCAATTTTGCGTAAAAATTCCCGTTTTTCCTTAATTTTTATGTTGTTTTTCCCGGCGCTTGTGAAAACTACTGGGAAATTTATACTTTTGACCCCCCAAAGTACCAACTAGATTCACTTTCCTATCAGAAAAGCTACTGATGAAGAAAATCCAAGCACTTTTACTGTCCTAAAACGTGATGACAGACACAAAAATAAAAAAAAAAATAAAAAAAAAAATAAAAAAAAAAATTAAAAAAAAAATAAAAAAACACACATCATTGTAAAATCAATACATTCATCGTTTCACTCAGAATCTAAAATGTGCAGTGATGTTAATTATAATATTATTAACACATTAATGGCTTTTATCAGTACCTACTATTTTAGTAATTAATGAATACGAAGACAATTCGGAGCCAGTAAGATGGTGAATAATTGGTTTAAATTGTATTTCTTTTAAAAACAATTATAAAATATATAGGTATCTAGGTATTGCAGTAGTGAATTTAAGGCTGACCAGGGGGGGCTTGTGTGGTGGAGTGGCCAATTATATGTATTAGCATAATATGGTGTGACGTAAACGGTTAACTTATGAGGAATACAATATAGAAAACATATTCGTTTTGGTACGAAATAAATAATTACTTTATAATTTTTATTTTTAAAACAACTTTGAACTTAAAGTGTACCATCTTATCTTATCGCCAATAAACCGACATAAAATGACATTACCGCATCCAGTGTAAATTATCTGTATGAAGCTAATGTATAATTTATAGTAGATAAAATCAAATATTTTGTATAGTTTGGTTTAGTTTACTTTTGTCGTTTGTCTTTGCGTATCATCTTGTCCTCGCCGTATAATGTCGGAAAAACGTCGAGATGAAGAA